TTCAGCGGCTCAGATGTCGGGAGTAAATGAGGACTGCTATGTTCATTATTACATCCAACAACAGAACAACTCAATCACTTAGAAATCATTCTTGTCTACATCTGCTCCGGCGGTGAAACAATGGCGAACTGATGACAGCTCACTCAGGGCGGGTCTAAGATAAGACACCAGTCCAGTCTGTGCTGAAACGCTACTGTCAATCAAACTATCGTGGGAGGGGCCTGTCTGTGTGACGTCACACAGACATGCATCTGAGATCGGCTCAATTTGGGAAAGGGGTAAAGATTTTAGTAGATTAAAAAAAAAAAACACTGGGTGGATTTTTATCATTATAGGGTGGTTGTGTACACAAACTGCCAACACACATTTCAGTTCAAACAACTTGTAAAAGTGCATGTAGCATCCTATGACCCCTTTAAAGGAAGCATATGTCTCAAGATCATTTGGCTATCAGATAAGCTCTCTCGGCTCACTCGGGGCATAGCTGGTTGCGCTTACCTGCAGTCGTGAATGCAGTGATGGACAGCTGTCTTTATTCAGTCCACTGGTGTTTGGATTTCATGTGATTTCTCATTGTGGTGGTGATATTATGATAATTCAGTTTCACTGATTGATTTGATCAAAAGTAATTCCATTTTGTAAGATCATTTAGTAAGATCATTTTAATTAAAGTAATTCCAAACTTTGTGAGGCAGACAACATTCTGTGATCAAAAACAATAACTTGTTAACACGCTCCACAGCACCACCCAGTTCATTTAGTTAGAACTGACTAGTTTGCGTGCTTAGGATTAACATCTACGGCCAGCAATGCAACGCGTAGTAAAATTCGAATAGTGTATTTATTTTTCAAATAATAATTACAGATTGAATATTCGACTCTGTGCACACCCCTAAAAACTGGTCTATTTTGTGACAGTACTGACAGTGAGTGCTGAAGAGTTATTTCTCTGAATGACAAATCTTATTGAACTCGTGTGAATGTCCTACTGAAAAAAAGCTTAAACCAGCCTACGATGGTTTGCTGGTCTTAGCTGGTTTCAGGTGGTTTCACAACTGCTATAAAATTGTTGTATGTAGCTAGATGGTGGACAAGGTGAATTTCCATTTTGACCAGTTTAAATATGACCAAAACCAGCAAACTAGACCAGTAAAACCAGATTAGGAGACCAGCAGGGTTATACATTTGAAAGATTTGAGAAGTAATTTGAGGCAACTTCAGAGTGCAAGAGTAGCAGTTTTTGTCATTTGGCCTTGTCCTACAGTTAAATGTTTGAAATGTCAAACTGATCTCAGATAAGACCTGGTTTAATCTCTCTCTTCCTCCTGTTCACTGTGAGCAGGCTCACTTCGACAGGAAGTGCTTCAGCTGCAGTTGTCAAAGACTGCCCTGTCACGTGCAGGTAGCATGACCTGATCTTGATTGTGACCTCATGCCTCTCACCCCATTAATGTTTAATAAGCTGCATGTGTATATCCATTCATGTGTATTTGTTTACATCTTCTCTCATTTGTCTAATGCCTTTCATGAATTGAAAGGTCAAATTTGGTCAAAAGTACATCCACAGCCCCATCAGTAAAGGTCAACTACCTCTTCATTGGTACAAACCAGAAACGTGTTCCTTTTGACTCCTATTATACTGGAAATCATTATTCATTATCACGATTAGAGGCTTTTATTGTCTCACCAAGCAGCTGTTTCGCTGAGGCAGCTAACGTTGTTTTTCATTGGCCTTTGAGCAATCATAGCGAAACATGGATGTTTAACAAAAGTAGTCATTTGACCTTTTTATGATGGAATTTAAATGCTAAAGTCCCCCCTGCTGCTTGGGAATCACATGTGTCCAGTCTGTTGCAGGTTCAGCTCCACTGAGCGATGAGGCTTCTGGAAAGTACTGGAACTCAAGTCAAAATATTTGGACTTAACTGTTTCTATCCACATTTTGACTCTGCAAAGTCTGAGGATACTGTGGATTGTTTTTCATAAATTCCCAACCATTCCAGACTCATACTCCACATAGTATTCATCCTCTGCTGAATGCACTGCTGCTTCCCATCTCATCCCTGCTGATATGTCTTGTTATGCTGATGCATGTATTGGTACAACAGTTAGACTGCCATTTGAAAGTCTATTGGAATGTCGCATTCATATTGATGAGATATTGATGAACTCCTAGTTTGAGGCCTTTTGTTTAAGTTCTAAAACAGTCTTCTGACTTTATTCTCAATGTGTTTTTGCTTAAATCTGCATATCAGTGAACCAGTTGATTGAAGCTTTGGGTAAAGGTTTTCAAACATTTTAGTTATATTTATTTAAACTGCTTTTGAAATAGATTAAAATTTTGTGTGCTTAATATTTTTTCTTTTTAAGAAATGTTTCTTGAGCACCAAATCAGCATTTTAGAATGATTTCTGAAGGATCATGTGACACTGAAGACTGGAGTAATGACTGCAGAAAATTCAGCTTTACCGTCACAGGAGTAAATTTTAAAAATATATTACAATAGAAAACTCATTTTAAGTTTTAATATTATTTTACAGTATTACTGTTTGTACTGTATTTGTGATCTAATAATATGCGCCTTGGTGCGCATAAGAGACTTATTTAAAAACAAAATCAATCCGATCCTAAACATTTTAACAGTAGTGTGTTATGTACAGGTGCATCTCAATAAATTAGAATGTCGTGGAAAAGTTCATTTATTTCAGTAATTCAACTCAAATTGTGAAACTCGTGTATTAAATAAATTCAATGCACACAGACTGAAGTAGTTTAAGTCTTTGGTTCTTTTAATTGTAATGAACTTTTCCACGACATTCTAATTTGAGATGCACCTGTACATTAAGCAGACCAACTTACAAATGAGTCACATCTTTACTAAAATCCTCTCAAGGAAATTAGACTGATCAAGTTAAATCATGATTAAATCAAACTCATTGATTAAATCAAACATCATTTTAGGCAATATCTAGTAAGGCTGTTTGAAACACAAATAAATATAGTGTAATAGTTTCAATATGTTTGATTTAATCTTTTCAAGAGTAGGAACTGCATGACCTATCTTTTAGAGATTAACCTGATCACTGAAGATCATGATCCAGAGTGGATCAGTGCAGAGAGACAGTTTGATTTAAAGAGGATAGAGTCTCGGAGGATATTTCTCCACTTTAATCTGTCTTCCACAATTTAATTATCAAAATTGTTTTTTTCAGTACATTTTTAATTTTAAAACATGCCATTTACAAATCCTCATGTTTCTAAGACTGACACTTTCATGTTAAACTAAAGGTCTGCTGGTACCTCAGTGGGAAACAGGTGGGCGTTTGTGTGTATATGTGTGTTTGAGAGAGGCCACACTGAACTTTGACCCAAATCAGAGCTCTGTTTCTGAGTTGTTGGTTTGCTTAGAAGTGTGTATGTGAGAGTGAAAGAGGTTTTAATTAGATTTTCTGTATAGTCGGACTGTTCACACTTTATGTTAAAGTTAATGGGACGCTCTTTAGATTATTGAAACTAACAGACTGGTTTTGCAATCCCTACATGTGTGTTTGTTTTATCTGAGCACTGAAGTGAATCTTCTGGCTTTGTCCAAGCAGAGGGTTTAGGTATATGAACTTTGTGGACAGTTAAAACACACATGATCACACTATGACACACCCATCTGCCTAACCTATGATCATTCCCATCTTTCATTGAATTAAACCATTAAACTAATGTTCACTGTGTATCTCTTCATCATGTCTCTCACTGTTTTAGGGAGAAATGGGGCGAGAGGCGAGTCTGGTGTGAGTGATGATGATTTAGCGTCGGATGTTCTCAGTCACTACAGCAGCGCCAGTGAGAGCGCGTCAGTCATAGAGGAGGGCACAGGTACCCAGAGACATGCAAATCACATCATACATGCACAAACATTAGCACAAATATATATTGCCAGTAGTATACAACTGCAAAAAAAAAAAACATCCACACACTGATTCTCTGTGCTGTGCAGGTGAGGTGGTAGATGAACAAACTGCTCAGGAAGAAACAGAAGACAAACTGAAGCAATGCATCGACAATCTGATGGAAAAAAGGTATCAATATGCTGACGCAACAGTGAGGAATGCAAGCACACACAGTTACTGAAAACTAAATGAGCTTTGCAGCTGTTTCACTCTTATCTTTTATGTGTTTTTCAGTGCTAAGACCCGTCTGGCTGCACTAGAAAGTCTGCGCTTGGGGTTTTCTTCCAGAGTCCTGTATGAGTTCCTGTTAGAGAGACGTTTCACCATCAGTGACTGTCTGGAAAGGAGCTTGAGGAAAGGTGTGAATTAGGAATTTTTGTGTTCACACATTGTCAAAATTCAAGTCCAGCCCGGGGTCGTCACATGTGGTTGCCGCAAGCCCGCCGGCCACTCCTTCGTCGAATCCGCCGGCCGCCGCTCACTCAAGGCCGCCGTGTGTGACGATGTGTTTCGTTGTGAAAGCGAAACTACTTTGTTTGGCCTTCCAAAAGAGGACACGACTAGAAATCAGTGGTTAAGTTGTATTTACAACACTATTCCAGAACAGTTCAACCCAAATATTCAGCTGTGTGCAGCACATTTTATGGAGGACTGTTTCCTGATCTTGGTAGAGTAGACTACAATGCTGGCTGTTCTGACTCACAGACTGTAAGTACGTTTTTTAAATTTAAAGAATTTGACGATTCAAACGCGAGTTTTGAGCAGTGTAGAGTAGCACTTGTTGTTTGTCATTTCTCCGATCAAAAATGCAGACATGGTTTTATGTTTACGCGGCGCGATGCAACGTGTAAAAA